GTCTCAGGAGGGATAGCTTCCCTAAGCTGTTAAACCTTACCCTGCTCCTTGAAGGATTAATAAACACCCAGAATGGTGTAAACGTGCACGTGCGGTTTACACTTCCCTTGCAGATAGTAATACATTTCACATGATAATTGCTTGATTTTTAATGCGTGCATGCAGAGTCCTGTTGATGCTGTGACAGGTGGCATGTCTCCAGTGAGAGATTTAGACCGGCTGCTTCAGGACATGGACATAAACCGCCTCAGGGCTGTCGTCTTCAGAGACATTGTGAGTTGTCCAGCAGACACGTTCGCATGCCTGTACACAGCACTCACAACGTGTATGAAATCACCTTTTCTAGCCTCCTCTAACCTCTGGTGCTTTTCAAAGAGGACGCATGTACAGATTGTTTAGTGTGTTGTTTGTTTCAGGAGGACGGTAAGCAGGCTCAGTTTCTGGCTCTTGCCGTCGTCTACTTCATCTCAGTCCTCATGGTGTCCAAGTACCGTGACATCCTGGAGCCCCACAATGACAAGAAACACCCTCAACGCTCCCAGTCTGCAAGGAGTACAGGTATACAGAACCTTCAAGAAAAAAAAATCATCAGGCGCATTTATGTGCATCAGAATGAAGCAAGTTGTTGAAAAGGATCTATGAATCCTGACTTTTTCCTTTTTCCTTTTTCTTTTTTAATAAGTGGGTTCATGTACTGCATAGTGTTCGACTATAAAAAAAAACCCAAACAGCTGCTAATCATCTTAAAAATTGTGGAAGCACAGCAGTGCTGTTTTTAAAGTTTGTGTATTTTTATTTGACCTGCAGATTGTTTTGGTGTGTGTTTCTCCTGATTGTGATTGTAACTTGCCATGTAAATAAATCACACACACATTCACACTGATGAACACATCAGGAGGAATCTGAAGTTCAGTATCTTGCCCAAGCAGGGATTGAATCACCAACCTTCTGATTTGTAGATGATGTGCTCTGAGCAGGGTTTATGCCTCTGTCCCCGCCCTCTGTTTTTGATACATTAAGCATTATTAGACAAGTGCCATGTAACTCAGTCAATTTTAAGAAAAGAGACATTTCTGCTCTACAGCTAATATCTCAGTAACGGGTCAAATCTAGACGACAGTCCAGAAGAAAAATATGTAAATCAGGTTTTCTGATGGAAGTGGATGCTCTTATTTGTTATTATTTATGTCCTCACAGATAGTGCTGCTGTTTCAGGTAGCACAGAAGGAGAGAACGGCTTCTCTCTGCGCCGGTATGATTCCGGCATCGGAGATGACCACACCTCAACTGCCGCAAGCGACGCAGATCTGTCATCCTCCGGTGGAACTCACGGTCCCGATGCCATTTCAGAGGCCTTGTCCACGCTGTCATCTGAGGTCAGACCTGCTCTGTCTGCTGACTCAAAGGGTAAAAATGTGAAGGACATTCTGCGCAGCCTGGTGAGCGCTCCAACTGACGATATCGTGGTGGATCCAAGCCTGTTGCCGCCAGCGTTCCTGGGAAGTGTGAGCGATGCGGCCAGAGAACCATCGCCACAGTTCCGCTCTTTTGATAGGTGAGGGTGTGAACATGGATTGACATACACTTAAAAAGCACATATGGTGTTTATAGTCTCAACGTTTGCATTTGACAGTTCCACAGGATTTTACTCCCAACATGACTGCGGGAGACCTTTGAAAGTTAAACCTTGAATGCATCTTTGCTTTATTTCCTCAGAGGGGGCTTTAGCGGATCTTGAAAAGCATTTAGTAACAAAAGCCTCTTTGGACTGGGAGTCTTTGTTGGTGACGACTTCTCTCTTTACTAAGGTCCTCACCTCATGCAGACTTCCTCCTTTCAAAAAATTGTTTTAAGACGGAGAAAAAGTTTTGAGGAAAGCTTTTGTCTGTCCCTGTTTAACAGTTATAAGGGGTTCCCTCCTTTCTTAGAGTAAAAAAAAAAAGTATATAATTTGCGTTATCTCCAGCAGTATGGGGTGAACAGTCAGGAGTAAGGCTTCAAAGGCAGAGCAGGGTACTGAAGTCACAGACGGGCTCAGGTGAGGGAGGATGGTTACTGGTCTGGTTTGCATTTGGAGCGCTGTTTCGCACATAGACTTTTACAAACGGCTCGATTTTGGCGGGGGTGGGGAGGGTAAAGAGGGAGAGGCACAGAGATGGGAGAAGTGGGAGAAGGAAGCCGTCACGGGGAAGCGTGTCAAGTCAAAAGTTCTCACGCACCAAAGAAAACATTTCTACATTTTTCTCTTTGTCACTCACAAACACGCTCACACTCAGTCAGTCTGCCTGCCCCCCAACTGTGGGAATTCCACAGCATCTCTGTGATCGCGTGTCTTTATCTGAGGAATGCTTTGTCAGGTCTCAGGGCGCTCCTCATATCAGGGGGATTAGACTGGCTCCTGTCCGCTGAGCACACTCAGTAGGAAGAGAGGACGTCAGGAGAGCTGGAGAACGTAGACTAACAGCTCACTTGCTGGTTATGGGAGCCTCTTCATGCAGGGCACGCTGACAGTAGACTTTACCCCAGTTACCTTTTTGTTAATCACTTGCACATCTGCACAAAAAAATTAATATCAAATCCAGGTGGAGGTTAACTAGTCCAGACTTTTATATTATTTTAAACTGAAAACCAACATCTTATTCATATTATTCACACAATATTCAATCACCAGAATTATTTCTTTAAGCAGAAAAAAAATCAATGAACTCTTTGGTCTATAATGTATGATTATATATTAGATATTATTATTATTATTAACAATAACAATTAATTGGGACTGAAGAGAATTTTTAAAAAAGTGGATACATCCAAATGTTTGGCTTTATTGATTGATCAGTCACTTCAGCCTTTAGTGTGTCCTGCACACACTACTGTCTGTCAGTGTGCCAAGTTATTTTGATGCCTCCGTGTCAAAACTACCCCTCCCATTCATGTCATCCTCTGGTTTTAAGCCTATATTTATTCTCGGTTTACTGCTTTTTATCACCCCGCTGTCTCTCAACCCTTACCAATTACCTCTCGACACATGTAGATATGTTCCAATGGTGTTTATTATCTGTTGCAATGACTTTATCACCGCTCGGCATCTCCCGCTAACCACTAAGTCTTCCAGGGACACGAGTACAAGCCAGAGCTGACATTCTGCACTGACATCTCCTGCCAAAACATGGCAACTTTCTGCTTGCCCAGAGGGTTGGATTTATGAGACCAATGTATGAAAAAAGCCGGGATCTCCCAGATAAAAACTGGAGGCGGGTCAGAGGGTGAAGTATCCCTGCAGATTTATTTACTAGTGGAGACGTGCTGGATTTCTCCCATGCATTTCTCAGCCATGCCCCTGTTATGACAGCCAGTCTGCAAATATTTGCTGATACTAACCAGAACTAAACAGTGTCATTGTACGAGTCTGTGATTTAGACTTCATGGTTCGGCAGAATATGTGAGTGTTAGACAGTGGGATATACATGGTGCGGTTGTTTGCATTCCTGGTAGCAGGCTTTGCATGCATGTGAGAGCTGATGTACAGATGACTTTTGTTGATGATTAAATGTTGTTAATGTACTGCTGGCGGTAAGCGTGTCAGGCATGAGCGCAGCTCTCAGTCAAGGCCTACCTTTTTAGAAAAGTCAGTTAATAAAGACGTTGTCGCTTTGCATTGGAGTTCACCTGCAGTGATGTACCTTGAGGAAGCTTGAACCCACTTTAGCTGGTATAATAAAAATCACACATTTATGTGCTAGTGTTAATTGCAAAGATCCATATTATATCCGAATCAGGACATAATGATAAATATCTGCCATTGTTTTTAGTACATTGCTTTAACAAAATTGTCAAATATTGTTGTGATTACAAGACAGTAGAAATTAAACTGGGAAAAGATTTTTCATATATCATTTACTAAAGAATTGAGCCACCAATGAAAACTGTAAGTATATAACACCTTGAAATTGATAAAGCGAGGTCTAATATGCAGTCTGGTTACCACAACTGAGATTTGTTAATGTTTTATTTTAATATTTGTTTGACAAACATAAAGACTGAGCTCTTTTGCACGTGTTTAATACCGTAGTTTTAGATGGTTGCTCTCGATCATCTATCATTTTTAATAGATTATTTAACATCAAGTAACACAAGAGAAACTCAGTTGATAGTATAAACAAAGGACAAGGGAGTTCCCCAGGTCTTCTGTCTTTAAACCCAGGATTACTTGAAGATGTTAAGATATGGGCTTTGTGAGCGGCGCACTCTTATTACGGCTAATAATAGCCTTTTATGCTTCCTTGGTTACTGTGTGTAAACATGTGTCTTTCACTCTATTTTGGATAATTAACAAAGAATGGTTTACCCCCTTTTAAACCAGTGTCTTCCATTGGTTTAATGAGGCAGTTGTTTTTGTGGGCACTTTGGTTGATGTTGTTCACACTTGCAGATCACAGATAACATCAAGGTACCGACTTCCGCCAGCCGCAGCTCCATAGGGTGAAGATGTGTACAAATGTGTTTGTGTGCGTACGGTCAGTGTTGTTGTTACATAGTGAAAGCTATGATCAAAGCTTTGCTGGGGTGCACTCTTCTCTCCATCGTGTCAGTCTGAGGTAAAGTCTCCAGAGAAGAGTATTTTTATGTACATGCAACTTGAGACAATTTGTTATTCGGTCTCACACTTGTTTTACCTGAAATAGCAGAGTTTACTGGAGTCATAGCTGCACTTAGCCATAGTAGGTTAGACCTTCTAAATAATTCAGCCACACACACACACACACACACACTTTCTGCCCTGGGCTCCTGTTTGCGGGTTGAGTGGGGCCGCTGACGGCTGATTAATCGACTGGGGCGGCCCACTCATGATAAGTGTGGCTAATGACCTGCTGAATAATTCACTGAGCCTTTGCTGAGGAACAGATGGAAGGCCAAACACATATGCAGACATGCTCACTGGCAGACTTCTTCACACCCGTGCACTCGAGCATTTATTTGGACACTCATGTGTGTGCATTAAAATATTTCTGAAAACATCCACGCACACTTTCAGCCTTCACTCAGCAGGGGTGTCTCTCCTTCTGTCTCTGCTGCTTTTGACACCCAGGGTGCTTCATGTCAGCGCCACCCTTGCTTCTTGATACCACCGTCCAGTCCACTCACTATCTGAACAGAAAAAAAATTACCAGATACTTTTATCTCCACTCTTCTTGCCTATCAATACTGATTTCATTCTCTTCTGTCACTACTTCGGGTTTTATGCATCACGTGGACCTTGTGTGGACCTTCCATCTGTCAAGCCTTCCTGACACAGTTATTATTTTTTTCCTCAAAGCTGTTAGGATTTAACAGCTACAGTAACTTTTAGTAACAATAGATCTGATCAGCTGCCTTAAATCAGCTGAGCGCATGCTTTGACACAGCAGCCAGGTATCTGTCTGCAGTACAGAGAGCAAACTATCCTCGTGGGTGTGTGCAGGAAAGAATGCACATACACAATCTGAAACTGGGGACGTGCAGGAATGTATGCAAGCTCTTGTGTTTGCGCCTCTTCTTTTTATTGCATATTCAAATTTGACGTATTCTTGCATGTCTTGTTAAAACCTGCATTGGGTCGTGTTTCTGAGAGGGGAGCAGTAGCCAGGGATTAGACCCTGCTTCTCCTATGTCAGCACTGATAAGCAAGGCCAGGCTCTCTTTGATATGGCCGCTGGTCTGTCAGAGCCCCGGTCTAAACTGACAGCTTATCTGCATGCTGCTCTCCTCGCATCTGCTGTTCGCCGGATGAGAATTGAACTCCACTTACTCGTACCACATCACTATGAGAAACATTTCCTGTTACTCCACAGGAGGGACCTCTCAACAGGCAGCATCATTGTTACAGAGAAACTCAATGTACATATTTAATCTGGCTGTTTTTGTGATGCTTGGCAGTTGTTTTTTTATTAATGTCAGGATTTGTGTCTAAGGATACATTGATTTTATTTTTTATTTTTTTACATTTTTAGAACAAACAACTTAAAGTTGTCATTTTTAAAATCAAGTGTGGACGCAAACCTTATTTAAGGCAAAGCCAATGTAAGAGCCAAGTCTAACAGGATATTTTTCATTTCAAAATGTTTTTTTCTTTCCTTGAAATAACCTGAATTTGAGCAACAACAAAAAAAGATCACTTATTTGTATTTATTTTAGAAGGTTTTCTAGAATAACTGAGATATTATAGAAGTATATTATTATAAATGTACTGATTTGGTAGACTAAATATCAGGCATCATAGAAGCAGTTGTATTAATGTCAGATAACATGCAGCTGGTGTTATGTGATAAAGCAGAAGATGACATCTAATAAAACGGGTGGCTATGGCTTAGGGGGTAGAGATCATCTGCTATTGGAGGGTCGATGGTTTGATTCCTGGCTGTTAGAGTCTGCATGCCAAAGTATTCAGTAGTATTCACATACTTAACCCCAGTGCATTCATCAGAGGGTGAACGTTAGATAGAAAGCACTTCGGCACACTTAAAGATGTTTTAGATGAAGCTTGATTTCAGTGTAGCCAAACTGTAGTTTCTTCAAGTTTTCTCAAAGTAGTATTGTTGACTAAAGAAAAATGTATTTAATTAAAAGTAGAAATGTCCAAATAAAACAGTTTTTTAAATTGCGACATTACATCAGGTGTCCTGTTTTATGGTAAGGTTCAGTGGGCTGCTTTGGCTACTATTCTGCTTATTTAAATTGCTCATAATTACTCCTCTACTCTAATGTGTCAGTGAAGTTTGTGGTGTTGTTCTAGTCATGCTGTGTGCAAAAATCTTATGAAGGGTTCTGTGAATTGGCAGCATCAGCATTTTCTTCCAGTTGATCTATGAGTCTTGATAATAAGCGCTTTTTCTTCTCTCTACAGAAGCGTCATCGTTGCACCAAAGAAAGCGGGCGTGATGCCATCTCCAGGCACTTCCACCCCCGTCCTGGCAACCGCCTCCGCCTCCGTGTCTGGTGGGACACCTATCGATAGCGTCTCTGTGGTATCTTCTAGCGACGCCTCCCAGAGCACCTCTGCAGACTCTGCAGCCTGTAAGCACACAAACACAAAACCGGACTGCAGTACTGGCAGAGCAGTGAGGGCAACTAAGTCACAGGGTGGATGAGTCTGCTGAGGAGAAAGTCAATATTTATTCAGAGATCGTGCTTCTCTGTATGTCTGATGGAATAATGGTGTTTGCACAGTGTAATCCAGTTTCTTCAGGCTGGAGGACAGCATGAGTAACGCTGATTCAATTATTTAAAAAGCTAAGGCAGTATCGAATGTGGAAAAAAATAAAAACATTTGAGACAATTTTAGGGCGGTGCTCTGCCAGTGCCAGGGCCCATTGTGCAATTACAAAGAAAATGATGTGAGTCTACACAAAAATGTAATGGGTTAGTCATCAGGATTACGCAGAAACTACCGAGCCAAATTTTGCAAAACTTTAAAATTGGAAAACAAACTGCACTAATCACACTGGATCATGCATAACTGTAAGAGAGATGCAATAGAGTGCATTTGGAAAGGGTGGGTTTCATGTATCAAGGGACCATTCAAGTGGGGGGGGGAATCAAACGTAGACATTAGTTATTTGGCATTTGTCTTAACTAACAGGCTACTGGGACATCCCAGTATTACAATAACTCCAGTAGGAGGAGGAATAAGGTGAATGGTGACTGAATAAAACAATATATTAAAGTCATACCTATCTTAGTTGATTCATAAGTGACATAAATCAGCAGTTTTTGTCCCCTTTCTGTGTAAAAGTGTAATGTTTTTTTTTTGTCTGTGTGTTTAAGAGAGGAGGGTTTGACATGAGTATGTGGATTATGTTTTAGGACTTTTGGGTGCGTGTGTGTGCTAGTAAATAATTATAGCTTAGCTGTATGCACAGACTGCTTGATGGCACTGAGAAGTGTTGAGTAAATATGCTGTGTGTGTGTGTGTGTGCGTGTGTGTGTGTGTGTGTGTTTTAGTGGGGCAGTGGGAGGACTAATGGAGACGTTCATTTACTCCTCTTTGTTTGAAGGAGCTACTTCAGCTTGAGAGGGATACTCTCACCAGGTCCACATGGCGCTGTTTAACACCTTACACACACACACACACACACACACACACATTCCAGTGCACATTACACTGTGTCATTCCTGAAGAGTTATCCCTGCACGGAGACTGTCCTGGCTGGAAAAACAAGCCCACTGAAACACCAGAGGAATCCCCCTCCTCCATATTCAGCTGGGCATTAGCTTATTTATGAGCCACAGGGAAGTGAATTTACTGCAAGATCAATCACACGCGGACTTTGTACCTCATGTGCCTCTGTCTCCAGAATGAAGTCGTAAAGCACCTTTTAGTTGTATAATGAAACGGTCAGAAAAGCAGCCCTGAGGGGTAAATTGGTATGTAATGACTTAATGAGGGGAAACAAGAAAACATGAAAATAGAATAATAACAATGGATGGAGTTACTTGTAATGAATACTTCTTTCATATTTAAGCTTTTGTCTAACATATATTGTTTCCATCTACGAATAATTCATCTTTAAAGCGTGACTGAAGCAGAAGATAAAGTGTTGTCATCCTTTCACATAGAAAGATTTTTCTCATCAAACCCAATGAATTATACACTGTTATGGGAGATGTATTGTGCTCAGAGTACATCATCCACTATCTAACTATAAAATGATACTTGTACCCCCACATACTCAACCATAAATCCACCTATTCTATACATTTGAATGGAGACCTCTGTATTATTTCATAAGAGGCATGTTTCTTCACAGGTTTATGGTGCGACCTTGGTCATATAATGTATTGCTGCACGCGTGTGTGTGCGCGCATGCGTGTGTGTGTGTCCCATTCTTGTCCAACATCCAGACTAATAACAGAGTTCTTCGGTTTCTCCCTGCAGCAGGCGGCCAGGTTCCAGCCAGCACTAGCCTGCCATCTGTCCCCCCACTCTCCCCTGTGACCCAGAACACAGCCCCCAATATGAGGTGATTCATCTTCTCTCTCTCGTTCTCTCGCTCTCTCGCACACATGCACAATCAGCTGTTTATGCACATGCGCTTACACAATCAGTTATTTATGCATATGCTCTGATTATTGTTTTTGTCTTTATTCCATATTTTTTTCATCATATTAAAAACACATTTTTGCTGACGGTGTATTTTTAAAACCATCTTTTGTGAGTTTTCAAAGAGTTTGTTTAGCCTTTTGGCCAATTACTGTTAAATTACTCCGTCTGCTGTCTTTTTTGTTTTTTTAGTATCTCAGAGCGTTTGGAGCATGCCCTTGAAAAGGCAGCTCCCCTGCTGAGGGAGATCTTTGTGGACTTTGCCCCTTTCCTCTCTCGCACTCTGCTGGGCAGCCATGGACAAGAGCTCCTTATTGAGGGCACCAGTGAGTAGAAAATTCTGGAAATTCCTTAGAAGTCACATCATCATTTTAGATCATCCTCACAAACCTCAACCATGCAGGGATTCTTATTTAATTGCAACAATATGTCCAGGCTATTGTTAATCCAATATTGTGATGAGTTGCGCTGCGCCAGTAGCCGTGCTGAAGGTTTCCAGGGGGCCAGGTCAGAGGCCAGGCCACTAATAGCAGTGTTTGGGATGTCTGCTGCCACCAAACAAAATGGAAAGTTGATTGATAGCTGTAAGGGGGGCTGGAAAAATAGGGTGGGGCTGTATGTGCATGCATGTGTGTTTGTACGAATGTGATGTTACATGTGTCTCTGTGAAACACGGAGACACATGAAACATCCGCTGAAGCGCACTCTGGACACTCTAGTGGCCCCCTGCCCTCTAAAAGCCCAGGGCTTGCCATTAGGGATCAATGGGACATATGCTAGCCACGCCAGGCCTGTAATACAAGGCCCAAATATGTATTAGTTTACAGTAACATCATGTCGGCTCATTAGGCCCATCAATACTATCCGCTCCCTTGCAGATGGCACAAGGTTAGGTAATCCCTGATGGTTAGCGTGTGCTGTCACAGAAATCCAGAAAGCTGTTTAAAATCAAACACAAAACTTTTTCTTTTTTTCTTTTTATTTCTCTTTTCATATGCCATTATGTCTGACTCCCTTTACTTTATATTTCTCCAGGTCTGGTGTGCATGAAGTCCAGCAGCTCAGTGGTGGAGCTTGTCATGCTTCTGTGTTCCCAGGCAAGTCTGGCATCTTTATCTTTCCTCAGGCCTGCGTTCTGCTTTTCCAGCAGGCTGATTTATCAGCCTCACCTTGAGTGCAGTAAATCCACAGAGCCTTATCTCTCCCCCACCCTACCTTGTCTACCTTTCCATATTCACCCTTCCCCTCATGAGGGCAGAGCGAAGGTATATTTGGCCGCAAATATTGGTTGGAGGGTCAAGGGTGGGCGACCTGTCCGCATCACCTTTTGACCTGAGCGGGGCCCTTGTGGCCTGGGCCAAACTGATGAGGAGGGATAATGTAGATTTGATGGTGCTTTGCATTGATTATCCCTCTCTTCTCTGTTGTCTTGTGGGTGTTTTGTTGCCAAGTTTATTTAGCTGCTGCTGGATTCATGAATACTAATTTAGGGATCATAAGCAGGCGTGGGCAGATCAATGATCGGGGTTGTCAATACATCACTTCAGGACAGCTGATTAGCATTTAGAGACAGAAAGCTACTGAAGGGCTTTACCATGTGCAGACCATAAATGCAGCACACGGTAAGCTTTACATTTAGGGTGAATTTAGTCTGTGTATTCTGCTTGAAAAACACTTATGTTCATAGTACATCAGAAATAAATAAACAAGAAGTTGCCCTCACATACACAGCCAGTGACAAGGACAGCAGATAATAACTCATCCCAGGCCGTGTTTGTGTGCATCTTTATCGTTTTTAAAGAACCTCATAAAAAAAACAAAACGACACACACACAAAAAAAAACAAGGTTTCCAATAATACAAAAGCACATCTGATTAATGACACCCCTCTCACTGCTCCACTCTCCTGTATTTTTTTTTATCAGCTTCATTTCCTAAAGAAATAGCTCCTGTCGTTTCGTTCCTGCACCCTTTAACCTCCATACGTTTGTTTAGTTCCTATAGTTCACTTTACTTCTTCACAAAAAAACAAAAAAAAAGCTAATACAGTCAGATTACACATCTGTTTGGATGTCAGTGGCCATGCATAGATTGGGGCTAGTGGGACTCGGGGAGGGAATGTGAGCCCCGTAATGTCCAGGGACGATGGAATAGCGGGAATGAAAGCTAGATAGAAAACCAAAGAGAGAAGAATGACAGGCTCTAATGCACCTATTTGTCATATCTGTCAGGGTGTTGTTTAATGCTAATCTAATCAAAGGCAGAATCTTGGTGATTGTTCCACTGCACAGCTCATGCCACGCTTCCCCCTCTTTGGTCCCTAGCCCAGGCTATTTCTTCTTTTTCTCTGAGCTCCAAGCTATCCCACCCAATTTCCAAAACACACACACACACTGTTTCAGTCGGAGGACCAGGGATTGGACAGCATAGTGTTGATTGCATCAATAAATCATCCAACCAAATTCTCTTACAGCTAATGCAAATGTAATTTTATTGTTGTGTGAAGGGGAAGAGGAGGGGGGCCTAGAAAGGTAGGGCCAATGCACTGCCTCTCACAAGGGAAAAGAGGAAAAGAGGGACAGACTTTCCTCTGGGCTAAATTACAATGTATAATTATGTGTGTGTTGGTTCTCCTTGTGGGCCAGGGAGAGTGGGCCAGTGCTGTGATTGATGACGTTATTTAGCAAAGTTTGTTGGGCCCTCTGGCACAGGAAGCGCTCAATTCTCTTTACAGGAAGTGCCTCTGTGGCCATCTTGTGACTCCCCCCCCGCCTTCGAGTCAACCAGTGGAGCGAGTAGATGGAGATGATTTTGATTGATTTTTCTTTCTTTCTTTCTTTCCCCTCTCAACCCCCATGCCTTCATCAGAGATGTGATGCGATACCATCTCTGTGAAATTTTAATTAATTTCCCAAGCTTTGAGATGGAGTGGAGCCAGGGTGAAGGGTCAGGAGGCTGGGGACTGCAGAGCAGTTTTTAATCAGGGATCCTATGAAAGTTGCATTGGCGGCCACATCAGCTTGGCATTGAGGAGGGGATTGTAAACCGCTGTTTGATGGTACCCCTTTTCGAGACGAGTACAACAGCGCTCCCAATTAAAGGACCATTTTGATAAGACATTAACTGTTGGGGTGGCATACTGCCCTTGTTCTCAGCTGTAATATTGATCTTCACACACTGCTGAATATACAAAGTGAGGATTAATGATCATAAACTCTGGCTTTAACCACTACTGAGAACTACTCAATATAGGGAAAAAAAGGCTGACTGTCAATTGTGTTCTTATTTATTCAGTATTTATTGTCTTTAAAGGCTTACAGCTGACACTTTCGCATTATTGTGTATTTGGGAGGATATGGGAGATTAATTGTTGACCTATAGTGAGTCAGATTTTTTTTTTTTACACTCTTAGTTAAACAAAAACTAACTGTATATAAAAGATGTATTGTTGTATTGATGTATTGATCATTGTACCACAAATGATTGGCTTGTGGACTTCCATGTTGAAGCCTAAAATCATAATTGTGACTAAATATAGCCAGAAGTTATCAGCTTTTTGTGAGCTGCATCCAGAAACTTTATAGGTACAATTCACATATATTTCCCATGAATCTTAACTAATACTAGACACTAAGCACAAGGTCCTTCTGTACAATTAACAGCAAATAAAAGCCAGTGTGATGTGTATAAAATGCTCCCAGAGGCACCAACACCGTAAATACTGTCAAATTTAGTTGCGGTGATGATTTGCAGACAGCTAGCGGCTTGTGTCGGTATCCACCTCTAATTTCAAACTGACCAAAACATTAATTATGCACAACTTTAAACCTTAAGTACAATTATAAAGTTTAAATAAGTGAATTAGATCAAACTTGAGCCTCCAGTACAGTTATCATAAAAATAGCCATTACTAGGACTTTTATATAATATGATCTAAATTTTCTCATTCAACCACATAAAATGCGAATCTTACACGCCAAAAATATTTTCCCACTTTTTTCCACACCCCTTATTCTTGTCAGTAACTTTGCTTTCCTCTTGCATTTTTTCGTCTTCCCGTTTTTGTCAACGTTTCGCTTCCCCGGTGCAGTTTTTGAACTCGCTTCTACCAAAGATATCTGATTAATAAGTAATGCACTGGGACGAGAGAGAGAGCTTTTTCTTGTGCTTGCTGCCATCCGTCGAGAGCTTTGAGAAATCATCTCATTGGATACTGGACAGTCTACGATGAGCAGGGGCTCATAAATCTTCTCAGTAGCTGCATTTGTGTCCTGTAGATCAGCCATTATTGTCCGGCACCTCTGTCAGACCATCCATCCTTCTGCCATTTATCAGAAATGCATCCTGTGCATGGAGTGGAAGGAAGAGAGGGAGGGAGAGTGAGTGTGCTGTGGGCTCGTGGAGTGTCGGTTTCATGATGGTCAAGACTGGGTGCAGAAGAGGGAGAAATAGGGGGAAACTGAATACTGAAACGAGGTCATCAGGTGGCTCTGCTATGCTGTCAGAGGCTTGGTTTGGGCCTAATTTACAAAGCACTGAAAAACCTGCTTTAACAGTGTCAGTGGGAAAAAGAAAAAAACACACTGAAAAATGTCCCGTATGATGGATTTTAGATTTTGTAAGTCCCATTTCCTGAATCCAAAATTCTTTCAAAAGCTATATATCTGTGATATATATGGTTGGCCATGCTAGCAGCCACCACCTCTATACTCTTGTTGTTTGATCCACTACTTTGGTCCCGATTGACACTTCTCGGACGCCTGTCAATCTCTGATTTAAGTAAAGCGTTTTGTCTTTGCCGCTGATGCAGATAATCCTTAAATTGTAATTCAATAACATCGGTGTTAACCCGCTAATCCAATGACTGTGCATCATCATATGTTCCCAGTCTGTCTCACCAAAGTTAACCTGTTTAACAGATGGGCACCTCTCCTTCAGTCTGCAGGGAGAAAGACATTGACTTCCCCAAACACTTGGCTGCTCCTGACCTCTGACCCTCTGACCTCCAGGTTAGAAGTGGAGAGCGAAGTTTAAACCCACGGAGTCGGGGAACAGTTCGGGAGTGTACGTTCATGAAAATCAATAGCATAATGTGAGAAACGAGGGAACGGGGAAGTTGAACCCTTGACGGTTACTTTTGTGCACTTTATATTTTATGTAACAGGTTTGTTTTAAAAGTTACGCTTGTGAAAGCCGGTCCCATGTTTGAGTTGCTCAAATAGTCATTTATTTCTGTCAGTGAACATTGTTTCTTCTTCTCTCCCATAAGCGATGGATCAAACGCAGGCCGTGTTGAATGAACCACTTGGGGAGCTGAGAGAAAAGTGAGGAATGTGATGAAACCAAGGGACAAAAAAATACTTTCTCCATCGTTTTTCGGCACAGTCAGACCCGCACCCCATCGTGCTGTTAAAGAGGCACGCAAGGTTCAAGATCAGTGAAAATCAAAGTGTTATTTTTTTCCCTCCCTCTCTGCTGGCCCTCACCCCACGCTTTGCTCCAGTGCCCCTTTACAGCTGTGCCACGAGGCTCACTGTCCCTGCCATTACTCTCTAGTTCATAGGACAATATCATGCTGCATATTCTTTGAAAGTTTCACCGACCTTTGAGGCTTAGAGAAAACACAGTAACGCCAACTGGCACTTAATTCTGCAGACTCCCCATCGTTGCCAACTATGCAGCCGCAAAGGGGGCAGCGGGGTGCGTTGTGTTGGAGGAGCTTAGGGTCAAGGAGGGCTTCCTGACAGGAAGTGAAGTCTAGCTGAGAGGAGAAAATCAGACAGGAGACTCCTAAAAATATTGAGTGGCTTTTAATTTGGCTCCCAGGCGGATTTTACTGTGAACTGGGCTTCAAGTCGCACGAATGGCCGGTTATTTATACGCAACATAATTTTCTTTCATATAAATGAATTTACCTCCCCTCCCGACAGGCACTCCTAATGCAGTGTTTTCTTACCTGTCAGGTCCCTTGTTATAAGACCTTGGAATGCGCTTCTGTTTTTCCCCTCGCTATCCTCTCTCAGCTAACCTGTTGTTAAAATCACGACCCGTCGTCTTTGCGCACATTTTCAGTAGGAATTCACTCGCCCTTGTTTATGATCTGGGACGGGAGAGATTCAAATATTTGGCATGATTTAGCTTTAAAGTGGGAATCTTTACCTTGTGTTATTCCCAAATCCTTAACTTGGAGATTGCACAAATCGCCTTGTGTGTACACAGTTCTTTTTATAGCTTTATTTACCATTTATTTTGTGCATTTAGCTTCCTGAATAATTAGTGGTGCATAAACAAAGTTTGTTTGGGGAACAGTGTTTTGTTTATGTGTGTCTTTTTCGGTCCTTGGTTTGCCATTGCCAGTCCCGGTTGATCCTGCAGTCCTTGTGCAATGGGCCGTGAACAGCTACTGTACTATCCCACAAAACATTTCCTGCAACACCGCAGAGCTTCCTCAGAAGAAGTGGGGCATATAAAAGGCCCAAGAATTGCCATTTTGTTCATTTTCTCCTTTTTTAATGTTTTGTTTTCTGGAAAATTTATACAAATGTTGTGCGTTACTGCACTGAAATGTCATAAAAATTACATTTGGACGAGGTGATGATTTCATTTCAACATGTGTTTGATTTGGACCTGAAACGGCTGCATATGGTGTTTTTAAATATTCATTTTCTCCTCACACCATTAAAATCCACCAGCTGAACTGCATATCATATTACAGAATAAGTTTAAAAGAAAAAAAAGAGGAAAAAGTCAGTTTTTAAATAACATACCACTGGCTTATAAAATGCTCTGTATATATTTATGTATTCCCCTTACATTTACTTTTCGTGCAGAGTTCAAGTGGTTGTAACATGTGTTTTGATTTGTCTGTTTGGGGTATGGGGGCTTTAGGCTTAGCTTTCTCACTCTGTGTTAGTATAGCCATGACAGTGTGAGCCCATGAAGCTCTCGGAGACCGAGCAGTATAAATATTTGGACATCAGTAAATATTCCTTGGGTTGTGAATTTGATCACGCAAACACCAACACGAGTGTCTGTTTTTCTTTAAGCAGATAGCATCTGAACATGCAGATGTGGATTGTTGAAAATGTACACCAGTGTTAAGTTATTCATACACACAAGCGCAGCAGACGCAGCATTAATAACAAACTACCGAGCTTCCGTATTAATCAGATTAAAGAGCAGTATATTTTTAGAGCCTTTTTTTTCTTTTTTCTTTTGCTTTGACTTCTGCATCCACAGGCTCTGTCTTTGGTCATTGTTAACATCAGGTCACTTCCCATAAACATTTAGATCTCAGTTTGTTTCCTTGTCTCTCCCCCACCCCCCCTCTTTTTTTTTCTTCTTCTTCTTTTTTTTTTTCGCACAAATGTCCAAATCAGAGTGACAAAGTTGGCTGCCGCCACCTGCAAGCGGCATGCCAGTGATCAAAATGTTTTTGGATTTTTTTTGGGTTTTTTTTTTTCTTTGAATGCGTGCATTTTATTTGCATTGGTTGACTTTTTTCTCTCACTGTTCAGTTAATGTGGCAAAAAAAGACATTAAACAGTGAGGCGTTTGAGTAAAAGGGGGGAAAGGAAAAATCAGTAGCTTTTAGCCTCTTTAATTTAGCTTCTGCTGCTCTGCCACTTATGACATGCAGATTTATGCTCTTGCCGTCTCATCTAAAGTTGTATTCCCCTAGCCTTTCAGATCAACAAATACTTGTGATTATGAGTGATGCCACCAAAAAGCACAACTGACTTATTTATTATTTCGACAGAGCTGAGACGGTTCTTTCTTCGGTGTTGGAAAATGTTTTCCTTGTGTTGTGGCGAGCCTGATGTTTGAAAGGCGATTTTGCTCAGGAGGTCTGTGTTTTCTCACCAGTGGTAGTGGTATATTTAGAAGTTGATTATGGATAATCAGCTGTAATGACGGAAGTGCATGGCATGTGTGTTTAGACTCAATGCCATCATCATGGAACGCAGAGCAAACAGAGCTGTCTTATTGACTTGAGATTTAGACATTAGGCATTTTCATGAACAGATTCATGCATAGCAAAACATAAACGCCGGTAAAGTGCATTAAATGTGTGCACGATTTCTCTCTTTCGATCGCTTTAAAGTCAGGATCAAAGATCGGCCGCCTCTCTCGCGCGTCCTATCATCTGTTAGGAGGTCAGGTTAAAGGTGAGAGGTCACAAATGGCTGCTTGTATCCTCTCATCAGGAGCGCTGTGGTCACGGCCCCTATCGCAGCCATAAAAGCTGCGACACTGCTGACCAGGGCAGCCAAAATCCAATATTCTATCACTGACCTGTCCCTGTTTCCTTTTTGTCACTGGAAGGTGTCCCTCAGATCAGGGTCACTGCTTTTTTAATTCAACTAGAGGAGCCATTTCTTGCCCATAATGACACCATTAGTCTTGCTATCACCTTTGTCCATGTCCCCCAAAATGCCAATGGTCTCTACGCTTTTCATCAAGCCTAATTTAGACGTAGAGCTTATCCCGGCCACAGATTCAGATCCAATCTTTATTACTTCGGGATAATCTTTTACTTTCTAGAGTCTGGCATGAAAATCTTTAAGGCTTTAAAGGCATAAAGGAAATTTTATGTCACCGCTTTTCTGGTTCTCCAGAGCACGACTCTATTTACAGCCCTGCTTCCTGTGGTGTTTATTTGAAATCCAGCTCGCACAGTCTGGATCAGTTTAGAATATCCACACAGCCACAGGCTAACACTCATGGTTAATGTCCTTCAACTACAGTCAATGCTTCAGCTAGAAGGCCCCAAGGCTACTCTGACATGCTTCCTCCAAAGCAGTCCTCAGCCACAAAACCCTCTCCCAGAAACGCTGTTTCCACTCCCTCGCCCAGACTCGTATTCCCTCTGCGCCCTCTTGTATTTGGAATGTATTGTAAACACGGTCAATGCCAATATGGTTCTGCAGGACAAAAAGCAGTTATGAACTGAGGTTAAGTGTAAGGTTGTTTTGTATATGACGTGCACTTGGGCACAGAGTGATGGTGCACAGGCGTTTCAGAAGAACGGTACTCTTGACTGCCATGTGATTCGTTTTGATGGGCTTGTGCTTAAAAATTGCACAGGTGAGAAAATCTCGACGCACCCACAGATATGTGTGGATGTGTATTAGAAATTCTCGTAAACTGATCTTTCCTTCCTCCTCGCAGCGCTGATATTCATGTCCCTGCGGGCTCTCTAAGGGTTACTGAAAAGCTAGTCTCTGTGTAAACACACGATTTCCTCTATCAGCTCCAGAGATGATGACAGCCGAGTTTAGGCTTATACGCAAGTTTTTCACTTCATAGCTGTTCTGTGTCTCAGTGAAATGATTAAATGGAAATGATAAAAATTAGTAGTTTTGATTACTTTGGAATAAAAGTGTCTCCAAGTCTGAATAAATTGTGGATCACAGTTATTCTCACAGTAGTAACTGTTAAACATTTGTCAACTGATGGCACGTTTTAATATTGGTTAACAAAAATATTAAGAATGGAAAGAAAAAAAAAAGTCCAAGCTTTGAATAATGATTTTTGTAAGAGTAGTTTGGTGGTTTAGGTCTCCAACCTGAGAATTTTTTTGTGCATTTTTCTCCAGCTCCCCTGAGAGGAAGAAGGGGGGGAAAGCGCTGTGAGCTTCAGACAGCCCCCCGTGACCTTGTTGCTTTATTATTCTTTTGACGGTTGCGTTGAAGGTGTTGAAATGTGGAACAGAACATGAGAGACGATGACCGGCCGAGTTTCCCTTCTCTCGTTGTCCCTTCGAAGTTGAGGATATAAGGCGCACACGGCTGCGGTTGGATTGTTTAGACTGACACCTCGAACCATAACGCTAGTCAAAGAGAGGAAGAAATGTGTGTATTTACTTGTGATAAATGCACTCTCAACACGGCTCTTTCACTGCTGCGCAATGGTGGGCTCGCATATTATGCAGCCGGCGCTAATCCAAGCAATTCTTAATCCTTTTTGGATCATGTTTTATGTGATATTAGGGGCCTGTAAAGAAGTAGCTAAGTCAGTGGGATTAAAAGCTTTACATGGAGCTACTGTTTTTGTGCAAACTAAATTCACTTTGACCCAGACTAAGAAAAACTCACTTATCTTGTAAACGTATCATTTTTGCCTCTTGCTGCTGCTAATGTATAGCAACAGAGTTCTGTACTATTGTAAAAAGTTGCATCAGTAACATGTTGATGTTTGTGTTGCAGGAATGGCAGAACTCCATCCAGAAGAATGCCGGCTTAGCCTTTATCGAGCTGGTAAACGAAGGCAGGTAGGTAACTCCGACCTGCCTCTCTTCTTGCAGCAGCACTAAATTATCTCTCCAACCTCCATTCATCAGCCACTTTCCAATTTCACCTTCCTCGGATCGCATCGTACCCCTCCTCCACTCGGGCACCCGAGATCCTCAAGGCCCGTGCAATATGGTGGCGTCATATTCAAGACAACAATCAATGGTTGAAAAGCGCAGAGGGACTTAGGGGAGTGAGGATGGAGGACCGCTGCGTTCAAGGCTCCATTCAATATCTGCTTATCCCAGTGGGACTTGGGGAGAGAAAGAGGGTTTAGGTAGAAGGTGATAGGAGCTCTGAGTGCTGGTTCCTCTGCAACACTTGGGAAATCGCTCTTAATTTGCCATTCGGGTCTTTCTGCCGGAGCCTTTATCTGTCGGCTACCATATCTACCTGTTTTTCAATTATTCCCACATATGAAGCTTCATTTTGCTAATAAGAGGTCACCCTTCTTACTCTGGCTCCTTTGTAGTATTCACACTCTTATCAGTTTCCGGTTGGTAGAGCAACACTTTCTATTATTGATCCTCAGCTTTTAGAATTGGCAGAGGGTAATCCCAAGTAACACAAATGAGATAGCAATGTTATCATTTGACGTGTTTGTCTAAGAAAGTGTTAGAAAATTACTTTCCAGATTTTGCTCTTATGATACATGTAATATATAATATAATTTTTCAATCAATCAATCTTTATTTATTACAGACTCATAGGAGGATAAACAAATAAGAAATACACGCAAATCGCAGTCAACCCAAAATGTACTTCAACTATTAACAACTTTGGCGTTTGTGACATATAATAATTTTAAGCTTAATATACTTGATATTCTTAATACGTTATCTATGTATCCATCCATCCAAGTTTTAAGTATGTGACGCTTTTCTTTGGGAAAATAGATTCAGAAGTGGGAAAACCATCCTACGTTGTGAGTATGCTGTACTTTTCAGGGATCGGGCTATATTAAGATGTGGATTAATCTTTCCTTTTAACATCCTAATTTTTTTGCATAATTAATTAATATTCATTATGTCAATGTACATGATGGATTTTCTATTATTCAGCTGTCAATTACTTACAGTGTAGTTTGTATCTCCTTTTATGTAAAACACCCAGAAGTTGGACATGGTTAATCTATAATACAGCTCACGCCCTGAAAAGTACAGTTACTATATGAGATGGAGATGTATATTGTTTGGTTTTCACTACTTACAACAGTTAATGTAAGTAAATTTATCTTTTTCTGTAAAAACCTGACTTGTTAGCCCCTAATTCTAGTTGCCTATAAGATTTACACCATTTTCTGTCAGTAAAGAAAATAATTTGGTGCAGCTCCATCCAAACTACTTTTTTCCCGAATTTTCTTTCCAACAAGATTTTAAAAGTTCTTCTAAAGTGGCACGTGCTTAATATGATTGAATTTTACAACCCTATTTTAACAGGATTTGACCACATGTGCAATCATTAACTTGGTGCGGTATAAAGAAGGGCCAGTGGTTAGGTTATTGATAGTGGGGCCGGAATAAGGACTCAGAGGTTGCAGAGGCCCCAGTGCCTCCGCTCCCCTGCTGCACTGTGCTGAAACTGTAGGCTTAGGTTACAGCCATCCCGCTGCCAGTCCCAGCCTGCCCCCACCTCTCCTCTCTGTCCACCGGTCTGTTATTGTTCCACTTTGCACAGTCCTGACCCGTGGGGCTGCGGAGAGGTTTCCGTGACCCGCGCACACACATAACATGCATGTTTCATCAACACTGATAAGAAGAGGGAGGTAGACTACATATGTAGCAACACAGGCAGAGATCCTCCCTCTTGTCAGATGCATATCATTAACAGATCAATTAACACCTGCACCCCAGGTAGAAGACAAATGTGCTTTGGGTTGGTTTTCAAATTAGATTTTCTGCTTATTTCGCATGGTTCCTTTTCAATATTTCATGGATATTACATGGCGGGTTTATCTGTAGGTTTAAACGAGCTTTAAATACAGTGATGCTCTGGATTTTGTGAAATTTCGAAGGGTTTGAGGCTAAATGACTTATAAGCTGTTATGTTAATGAAGGAATAAATCTTACACAGTATTGCAGTGTACTGATGGCCACTCTCCCATCTGCCCTCAGGCTTCTGAGTCACACCATGAAGGACCACCTGGTTCGTGTGGCTAACGAAGCTGAATTCATCCTCAGCCGACAGAGGGCCGAAGACATTCATAAACATGCAGAATTTGAGGTAAGATGCTGCGCAGTTTAGGCAAACATACAAGCATGAGCACAAAATGCCCTTTGAAAATATTTTTATTACGGAAGAAAACTGAATTACCCGTAAATTAAAAACAAAATACGAAAGTGTATATAAACTGTGATTTTCACCAGCCTGGCGCAGGAAGTTTTCATAGACACAAACAAAAATTGTTTCATAGACACTAAAATTGTTTGCCACAATTTATCTTAAAGATGCAAGTACAGCTTTTTCAGTGAATTGGAATCAAATATATATCATTAAATATATTTTAATAAGGATGAAGGATGTTTGCAAAATCAGTCTGGCTTTCCCCCCTGTGTGACCCATGGCAACTTTATCCATTTCAGCAGTTTTGACTGCTTTGATAAGAATTCTTGACTTGTTATTGGTATGCTCTGACTGTGTATATGTTGAATAAAAACAAACAAGCGGTAAAAGTGGTGGGAAAGGTGCTGATCCAGTGGCTACTTTAAACCATCAAGTTGTAGAATCTGTCACAGTAAATCTAGAAGACAAATGTTTACTTTTCAAACATAACCCTGGCTAATTGGGAACATAGAGACACATACAGATGTAGTTTCAGGCGCGTGTTAACTGCTTTGCACATACAGTTTGGCTAGCCCCAGCCTAGTGTTAATTTATCCCTGTACATCTTTACATCTGTACATTTATCCCTGGGCTTGCCTCTGTGTCTTAACTTCTCCTCCTATTCCTCCTCCTAGCTCTCAGTACAAACGTTGCCATTCACACGTAGCCGCCGGGCCAACTCTATCCTGACCTGTAGGCACCTCTCGCTGCCCCTTCCCGAGTCCAACTCCACTTCACTCCCCCGACTCTTCTTTCTAGATCTCACCAAAATCATTTCCTGTCCTGCTGAGATCCTGTCCATTATACTCCCACTGGGGGTGTATTTTGCCAATGACAGGAATATGGCATCCTCCCCTCTCTTCCATCCCTCCCACCATCATTTTTCAGGAACCTGCCAGCACTAAAAGCTGCAGACAGACCTGAGAGGTGCTGGCCTGAAGGGCTCACTGTGTGTAAGCCTTGGCCCCCACTTGGCAGTAAAATGTGATGCTTTCTTTCTTTTTTTTTTTAAGGTTCAAGGAAGGGTCTTTCTTACATTTGGGTAAAGTAGAATCCCTTAAGACTGCAGAAAGTCAATCACAGGGGCGGAGGCACAGCTCGTGCACTTGAGCATTTATACAGTGAAGAGAGCAAAACATGGCAATCACAGGCTAGACTGCTTTCCTGTGTGATTGTCATGTTATTCGGCTGAACCCGTAATGCTCATACAGCGCCAAGTGTCAGTCATTTGCACAGTATTGTTTTACATGATTTGACCTTATCATCATCAGCACTGACTCTTAGAGTATGATTAAGTTCTGCAAGGGTAATGCAGGCAGTTTTTGTTTTTATTCCAGTGTGTGCAGGTTTGGGCATTTGGCAAGTAAAAGCATCTTACAGTAGGTTGCTAGACTGGCCGATCGACAGACTAGGCAGTCAGTTTGCACACGATGGCCCCAAATGATCCTGCGCTGCCTCAGCCTTCTGCTGTGGCCGTGGGCCACGTACTCTTATTGTAACCATGTCGTATCCCTTCTACATTTCTCCAGCATACAGGTCCTGATTGCTAGCCTGGCATGTTGAGCAAAGAACAGACTCGCTGTCCTTGGGTCTGCAAATCTAATATCTTTCTTTCTTTCTTTTTTTTTTTTTGCTGTGTTTTCTTGTTATTTTCTCTTTCTGTATTTCTACATCTCTTCCAGCTGAGGCTTCTGGGCTTTGAAAACCTTTAAAATGTGTACTGAAATAGGGAGTATTGCAAGAATAAACAGTTGAACTGAGTTCAAGCCTTAGTAAATATAAAGTCATTTGTGTAGTTACCTACACAAACTAAATAGTCTATGATGGATTTTATGACAGAGTTTATCAAGACGCTTCTGTGAGGGGTAGCTACGTGAATGGAGACTGAATTCTTTCTGCATTTTAGGGCATTGTGGGTTTGTCAGCATTCACTTTCATAGATTTTGTTTTCATATTATGTGCAACAAAGAAAACGTAGGTCCCTCTGCAAAGCTAGCTGTGTTCTGCGGTTGTCATTTGTAACTTTACCTTGCCTTGCAACCTCCCAGCTGTCCCTAATCAGATACCCAGCAAAGCTTGTCCCAAACTATGCTTCACAATTGAATTCCCCACTTAAATGCAGTTGCTCCTCGGTGACCTCTGAGAAGAAGCGAACCCCTGATAAGTCTTGCTCTGATATTGCTGTATTGATTTTTGCCTCTATACAAGCTCTACTTGAGCCTGCTGGAGCCAATGGTTTCATTTTGCACTGCCACAATAAAAATAACAGGCCAATGAAAGGCCCTCCACCCCCACCCTTTTTTTGGGGGTGGGGGGTGGAGGCTTATGAAATAATTTTCAGTTATGTCCCAGATTTTTAAAGGGTTGTTTCTCTGTATTGTGTTGCGGTGACGCTTCAGATTGGTTATTGTTTTGTGAGGAAATAAACCTCCAAATGGGCCCCCACAGCATGTCATTTGAGGTATCAAAATAAGGTTTTTCTGAAGGGGAAAAAAAAGAGAGCAATTCCCTCCCCATCCTCTGCTACATCTGAGAAATTCTGTTTTAAACAGCAGCAGCAAATCTCAACCAAGGCACCAGCAATGAGATTAATTCGATCCATAAAAACACAAATTTATGTTTACTCCTTGTCAGATTGCATATCCTTGAGAAGGCAGTGATAGAGGAGCGTTTTGATTTAGATACCCGTTTGCCTCAGAGACGTAACATATGCTTTTTCTCTCTCACTGTCCCTCTCTTTCTTTCTCACTCACACTCTCTCTGGCTCTCTGTGGGACAGAATTGAGTTATCTTTGGCCCTGAGAGTAAGTTATTACAGCGGGCTTAGGGTGAAACAGAGATGAAGATAACTAGGGGGGAAATCCAATTACCTTTTAGGGTTCTCTATCTAATAGGATCCTTAATGTGAAGGAGATCTGCAGATCGGATGCTGCTGCCCAGCACAGCAAATGATAGACTCCGATATCTTCCACGGGAGCTGGGAGGAGAGGAAGCCCGAGAGATGGAAAGAAGGAGAGCGAGAAATCGAACTCCCTCTTTTTATGGGGCTGTTCATTAGGGATGAAATGTGGTGGGCTCAGGGGCAGAAGGGCAGATAAGAAGGCTCAGATAGGGAAGAGTGAGCAACACCCAAGTCATTTCTATTCTTACTCTTCCTTCTTGCTTCTTGCCTTTCCCCCCCATATAGCCTCTTGATTCATCCTCTGCTGCTCTCTGGAGTAATTGATTTTACTGTTTGAGAGATCCAGTGAAAGCCAGACGATAGCGCCTAATTAGTGCTTGGTGTCACTGTCTTCCCTCTGCTGAGCTTGTAAAACGATCTGGCCCTTCTCTCCATGTTAATGACATTAACATTGAACTGATGCTCATTATGTTCTGTTATCATAAACCTGTAGTCTGTGGATGAGCGTTTACCACAAACTGTCAGACTGTGCTGAGCATCTCAGAGAAACTCTGGCTAAGGATGCATTTTACAGATAACATCTGTTGAAATAGTCTGAATCGCCGAGGTTAATTTTTTAATGTAGTATACACCGATCAGGCTAACATTAATATAACTAACATGTGGAGTAAATGACGCTGGTTATCTGGTGGGTAAGATATATATTAGGAAGCAAGTGAACATTTGTCTTCAGTGCTGATATGTTAAAAACAGGCAATATGCACAAAATTGAGGGTTTGACCATCACAGGGGTTGAACTGTGATAGCTAAAACTCCAGCTCTTGTTGGGTGTTCCCAGTCTGCACCAGTCATTATCTGTCAAAAGTGGTCCAAGGAAGAAATGGTGAGGAACCACTGACAGGGTCATGGGCAGCCAAGGCTGATTGATCCATGTGGGGAGCGAAGGATGCCTGTGTGGTTTGATCCAGCATACGAGCTACTGTGTCTCAAATTGAAGAGGAAGTTGATGCTGGTTCTGACAGACAGATGTCAGAAAACACAGTGCATCAGGTTCTTGTTTATGGGGCTGCATAGCAGGAGACCAGTCAGTGCTCGTGCTGACCTCTGTCCAACACAGAAAGCCCCACAATGGGCACGTTAGCATCAGAACTGGACCACATAGCAATGGAAGAATGTGACTTGGTCTGATGAATTATGTTTTCTTTTACACTCCCGTGATTTAATATCTGTGACCAGAAGAATATTTTACAGTGAAATGATATCTCTGCTTTTGCTAAATTTTTTTGACTGCCAATATAATTTCCTTGCAAGGCTATTGCAATGCTTTAGCAGAAGTCTTTCTCCCACTCTATAGTACATGAGAATTATAACTTCTTTATTTAGAGACAACCTTGTTGAGGGAGTCATGTCAGCATGGCTGGTTTTCTCCATCAATGGAGAATAAACTTGACCCTGACTTTCCAACCAAGCACCTGCAAAGTTTCAAGACTGTATCTTAAATGATGTATCTTGACGTTAGCTGTCAACAGATTTACTGTTCAGACAATCTTAGCTGTCATAACTGGTGATTTTGTGTCATTCTTTCCTTATAATTTGAGGTTACTTGATGAACTAATGAACAACCTTGTCTGCAATACCTGTCTGGTGCTAGTTATCTGAAAAGATAGAAGAAATAAATCAAGCCAAACCTAGATTATTACTACCTCTGCTGAGGAGGTTATATTTTTGGTAGTTTTCGCATGTGAGTCATTCTGTCTGTAAACAGAATAGTAAACAGAAAGGTTTTGAATGAATTCTGATGAAAACTCTGTAGAGATGTAGACTGGAGTCAGCGGTCTTAACAATCCATTAAAATTTGGCTCACGTTCACCAAGGTCTGTAATGTTCATTTAATAATTCTTTGGTTGAAAATGGACAAAAAAACCTTAAAATGTGGAAACTATTATTCTTACTATTGTGGTGTTTATTGCCAACATATAGAAAGTAACACATAAAGATA